GACTCTGTAAACCGCTTAGAGAGGGCTGAAAACCCTATGAAGCGGTATATAAGTCTAACTGCTATTGCTATTGCTAAGTATAGAGCCCACGCGGAGGCTTCCCAGAAATCCCATGCCCATTTCCGGCCTCTGGAGGACTTTGGTAGAACAGGGGGGGACTGGCCGGGGGGGCGTGGCCAGCTTGACGTCACTCACGTTGGGGGCACTTTTGGTGGCCTCACCACTCTGCCAGTAAAAATGGGCTCCCGTGCTCCGTTTTCGGCTGTGACGGCCTCCTGCAATCCTCTGCCAGTGAAAATGGAGCTCAGGAGCGCCGCACGCAGCCCTCCCGAGCTTCATGTTCGCTAGCAGAGGAACTGTGGGCTGGGTTTCCAGGGTGGCCACGCAGGCCAGATCTGAGCACCCCACAGGCTGGATTTGGGCCCCGGCCTTGAGTTTGACACCCCTGATATATACCAGGAGGAGGAGGAGGAGGAGGAGGAGGAGGTGGAGGAGGAAGAGGAGTGTAGGCCTCACCTTGTCAGCAATGAAGGGCAGATGGTTACCGTGGCAATCCCAGCCAGTTTCCTGCAAGATATCCGGGGTCTGTCGCCTGGTTTGCCTGGAAATGCTGAAGTGAACCTGCTTCTTGCTAGCCTGCATATTGAGACACAGAGAGAAGCCCCCTCCCCATAGTTAACTGGCTGCCTAACCAGATTTTCAGACACATTCACAAAATGGCTGAGCTCAAACCAGATTGACTTTAAACCGATTTAACAAAATGCCTTCTGGATACATTATAAAGTTTTATTTGAGGGGCTGCCACAGAGAGGAAGGGTGATGGTGGTTTCAAGCTATTTTCCAAAGCACCTGAAGACCTGATTCCATAATGGATGGAAACTGATCAAGGAGAGATTCAACCTAGAAATAAGGAGGCATTTTCTGACAGGGAGGACAATCAACCAATGGAACAGAAGTTGCCTTTGGAAGTTGGGGTAGCCTCATCCCTGGAATCTTTCAAGAAGAGACTGGACTGCCATTTCTCAGAAATGGGGTAGGGTCTCCTGCTTGGGCGGGGGTTGGATTAGATCAGTGATCCCCAACTTTGGCAACTTTAAGACTTGTGGACTTCAACTCCCAGAGTTCCTTTGGAGTTCCTCCTACTCCAAAGCTGGCTGAGGAACTCTAGGAGTTGAAGTCCACAGGTCTTAAAGTTGCCAAGGTTGGAGACCACTGGACTAGATGACCTACAAGGTCAGGGATGGGATTGAAAATTTTTAACAACCCGTTCTCTGCACGGTAGCTGGGTGGCCATGGGGGCATGGCCTATTTGGTTTCCTGTACCACAGTGGCAGGAGGAGGGTGTTTTCACCCTCCCCAGGCTCTGGAGGCTTTCCTTGAGCCCCCGGAAGGGTGAAAACATCCTCCCCTGGGTTTCGGAGGCCGGAAACGGGCTCATTTCTGGACTTTCAGTACTTCCGGTAGGCCTGTTTTTTGCCCTCCCGGAGCCTCCGCTTGGGTCCTACACTTACCTGGCACGATGAATGGGCTGTGTGGAGAGTCCTGGGAGGGGAGGGGCAGAGTGAGCGGGGTCAGCCATTTCTTTCTAAAATTAACATCTGGTTCCCCGAACCGGTCCAAACTGACTGAATCCCATCCCTGTATAAGGTGGTTCACCGACAAATGCGCGCTCGACAAAAGCGTGCCGACAAAACCACGGGGATAAAACCATGAGTTCGAAATCGCACCAACGAATGAGCGCAGAAGCGTGCCGACAACAGCGCACCAACATAAGCGCGCTCTAAACCTAACCCTAAAGGTAAACCTAAACCTAACTCTAAAACTAACCCTAAAACTAACCCTAAACCTAGCCCTAAACCTAACCCCGAACCTAACCCTAACCCTAACCCTAACCCTGACCTTAACCCTAACCCTTACCCAAACCCTTACCTTAACCATAATCACGCTTCTGTCGGCGCTCTTTTGTCAGTGCGCCTTTGTGGGCGCGCTGTCGACGTCGTGGTTTTATCACGACGGTTTTGTCGGCGCGCTCTTGTCAGGCGTGCATTTGTCGGGTCACAGTATTAGTTTAGTTTAGTTTATTTGGATTTATAGGCCGCCCTTTTCCCTGAGGGGACTCAGGGCGGCTTACAATCATTAGTATAAGGTCCCTTCCAACTCTGTTAATCTATTAAAGTTCTGGCAACAATAAAAACAGGGCAGATTTCCTCCCTTTTCTCTGCAGACATGGTGGTGGGCATCCTTTGTACTCAAACAAACGTTAACCGCATTTTTCCGAGCTGTTCTGAGGAAGCTCTTTCAACCTACTTGTATTAACTGGGCTGCACTTTCTGGACTTCCGTGCTGCAAGTCGTGCCCGTTAATGGCTAAAACCTTATCGTCCTCTCGGATTTCCCCGTCACGGGCAGCCAGGCCTCCTTCGAGCAGGTTGAACACAAAGACGCCATCCTCGTGGGCCTTACGGATCAACTTGATGCCCAGCTGTTGCTCTGGGTTGCTTTTGTTCAGAGTAATGTGCAAATTCTCATCCCTGTGGTAAGGAACATCAGGGAAAAGTCCGGGATTCCCACACTGGTATTTCTGCTCTCTGAGCACAGTGAGACGGAGAACTTGGCAAGGCTGCGTCAGGACGAACAAGGCGTAACTGTGAGGCACGTTTCTGATATCTATGCCGTTGACCTGGAAGACAGAACAGTGCGTGTCAGCCTCTGCTTTGCTGCTGCTTCGGCTGCCATGAAACGGGGAGGGAGGGTATGGTATTTGGGAGGGGTTACTAATTGTGCTGGAGGAAGATTCTGGAGCTCAGCTGCCTGTCGGACAACGCATGCGTTAGGAGGTTCCC